TACATCAAAAGCATATATACAATTATAGAAGTTCTTATAATCCATGTAGCCCTGATGGTACATTATTTATCACGTTTTACAGAACTAGAAAACATTCAAATGAACATAAAGAGATTCAGACTGGATGATAAACTTCTGATGGTTCAGGGCATTCATTTATTTTTTTCTGATACGAAAATCCAAAATTATTAACGTTGAATTTCTCATCATACATTCATCTAAAACCACAGTGGAAAAATGTAAACTTTGTAAAGACAGTAAATTGGTTATTGTAGGTGTTTCACAAGTAGCTTGCTATCTAATCCAGGAACTGCTGGAGATTTCTGCAGAGTGCAGAGAATGAGGTGGCCGGGCCGAAGTTTTTGTTGTCGTAATTGTTGAGGTCGTCCCCGTTCCCTTTGAGAGCCGCCTCGGACATCATCTCCACTTTCATGTTGAGGTCCTGATTCTTTCTTTGGAGGTCCACAATCACGGAATTCAGGAAATCAATCTGTGTTCAAGGAGAGCGTGAGACGGTGAGCCATCTGCGAGAGCCATGGGAGCCCGCCACAGAGGAGGCTGGGCCCCGCTTCCAGTCCCCGCCCCAGGGTTGGAGGCAGCCAGAGCTCCCCTTTCCCTTCCTGAGCGCAAGCTCCCGGGTGCCCAGGGAAGACCCCAGGAGGAGATGCTGGTACCCCTCGGTTCTTCTCAGAGCAGGGAGTCAAGAGGGGTCTTCCCTCTCCTACAAAGACAAACTCACTTCTTTCAAATGAATGGGGCGGGGGGAAATCCCACTTTACAAAAGCAAGCATGACTGTAGGCACAAACATTCATGTTTCACTTGAAAACTGGCAGGCGCGTTGGTTCTGAGTGATAGCACAGCGGGAAAGGTGCTTGCCTCGCACGCAGCCAACCCAGCTTTGATCCCTGGCATCCTATAGGGGCCACCGGAGAGCAGCCAGGAGTGATTCCTGAGTGCAGAGCCAGGAGGAAGCCTGGAGTATCGCCAGGTGTGGCCCCCAAAGGAAGTGTAAATAAAACCAGAAAAACAGACTGATTCTTTTTCTCCCTCAGGGCAAGTTCTGATGGCCAGTCTCTGAGAGTGCCCAGGCCATCCCACACTAGAACCAAGAAACGCAGATCTCTCTTCCTCCAGCTGAAAACAAAACAAAAGAAAACATGGAAATGTTCAGTTCCCAACAAACCCATACAGGGTCCACCTGCACAGCCCACATGCAAAGTTCACTTCAGCCCACAAGTGCCCTCCAGGGCCACCGGCTGTTAAGTACAGAAGTGCAGGAAGTGAGGGTGTGCGGGAACCCCTCAGGGCACTGGGACCCAGATGGTCCCCTTCCTCGGAGAGGATTCAAACGATAAAGCGCTGCAGACCCGGGTGGGATGGAAGGGGGGTTGGGGAAGGAGAGACATCAAGGAGGCCCCAAGGCTGACTCCTGCTGCAGGCCAGACCCGAGCCTGGTGATGGTAGGTGCGGGCACCGGACTGCAGCCAAGTGTGCAAACCCCGGAGGACCACACCCAGCTGTCTCCCTTGACAGGAGCAAGAAGAAGGAAGGCAGCCCAGAGGACCAGACTCCCCCAGCTCTGGGCCTAGAGCATGCGCAAAGAGGCTGGAAAAGCCACATGCTGGTGGGCGTTTCCGTTTGCGATTGAACCTTCCTGGCAGGGAAGAAGCCCTCCAAAGTGGTGTTCGACTCTGGCAAAGTGAAGATTTGCCAATTTGATGGGAGCCCGAAGCCCAGGTTCTGGGAGAGCAGCACGAGAAAGGGCATTGGAGGGCTCTGGCAAGGACATGGCCCCTTGACTGAAGGGATGTGTCCTTGTCCATGGGGCCTCTCACTCCTTAAGCATCACCTCTTGTGCTGGGAGCGTGTGGGGGTGGGGTTCCGGCAGCATGTGCGCGGCCCCTGGTTCTCACGGGCGCCAGGGGAGCACAGCCCCTTCTTCCTCAGCTTCCCTCTTTTTGGCCTCTGTTATTTTAAATAATCAATTAATTTGGGGAGGGGGCTTTTGGGGTCACAATCCGGCGTTGCTCAGGAGTGATTCCGGGCTCTGCACTCAGGAAGTACTCCTGGCGGTGCTTCAGGGACATATTGGGATGCCGGGGATGGAACCTGGGTTGGCCATGTGCAAGGCCAACACCCTTCCTGCTATGCTATTGCTCCGGCATCATTCTCGGATATTTTAAATGGTAGATATTCCCCGACTCTTTTGAAGCATACACGCATATATACATATATACATGTCTGTGTATGTATACATGCTTATCTAGAACCTTTGTGGGTAGTCAGTTTGGTTTGTTTGGGGGCCACACCCGGTGGGGTAGGGACTAAACCCTAGCTCTGTGCTCAGGGATCACTCCTGGCTAGGGTGGAACAGCTCAGGCTGTCAGCAGTCACTCGAGCCCGGGAAAGTGGGGCTGTGAGGTCAGAGGGCACTGGCTCACCTACAACTGCACTCAGGAATTACTCCTGGCGGTGCTCAGGGGACCATATGGGATGCCGGGGATTGAACCTGGGAATTCGGTGTGTAAGTCAAACGCCCTCCCCGCTGTGCTATCACTATGGCCCAGGATATGGTTTCTCTCAGGGCTGAGGCCGGGCCTACACAGCCCTGGTCACTACCATCACCCACCTTACTCTGCATCATCGCATTGGTGTTCCTGGTGTCCTCCAGGGAGGCCAGGGCCTGCAGGGACGCCTCCCGCTCGGCCAGCAGCTCGGTCTGCTGCGCCTCCAGCAGCGCCTGGTCTTTCAGCAGCCAGTGCAGCTGCCGCTGGAGCTTCGTGGCCTTCTGGCCCAGCAGCTCCTTCTCAGAGCCAAGGCTGTTCAGCTGCTCACGCAGGGCCGACTCCACGCGGGCGGCCTCCTCCTTCTCAGCCGTGAGCTCCTCGATCTCTTGCACCAGCGACTTCTGATCCTGAGCCAGCTCCTCGTAGGAGCACTGCAGCTTCTGGATGATGTTGTCCTTGTCCTTGGCCAGGGATAGGTTCTCCAGAACCAGCTTCTTGACATGCTCCTCCAGCTGGCCCCTCTCCTCCAGGCCCTTCTTGCACTCGGCCACCAGGCTGCTCTTGCTCATCTGCAGCTCCTCCACCAGGGCCTGCAGCCCCAGCTTGGCGACCTGCAGTGCGTCCTTCTCCGCGCCCACCCTCTGGAGCTCCTCCTGCACCGCCCTGCCCTCTTCCAGCACTTTCTCTTTCTGCGCCTCGAGGGCTTCTCGGCGGAGCCGCTCCTGCTGGCAGAGCTTCTCCGCGGCCCACCTGGCCTCGATGACCTTCTCCTTATCCATGCGAATCGCTTGGTTCAAGAGCCAGAGCTTCCTCTGCTCTTCCCGCAGCGAAGAGTTTTTGGCCTCCGCTTCTCTGAGTTTCAATTGAAACCACCCTCTCTCGGACTTCAGACAGAGCTTCTCCTTCGCCAGCAATTCATTCTCTGACCTCAGGGCCCTGCGATCCTCTGACATCAGCTCCATCTCTTCTTTGGCCGAGCTTAATAAGCAAGTTAAGGACTGCAGAAACAAAAAGCGGGGAAGAATGGAAACAAGAATGAGATCAAGCAGGCACACGCAAGCCAAGCACTTCATGTGGCCTAAATACCAGAAATGAAAATGGCAGAGTAGTCTTACCTGCACACGCGTGTATACGTGCACGCGCACACACTCACACACACACACACACACACACACACAGACTCAGGATGGAGAGGCTCAGACACAGTTAGCTTCTTAGCGTCAACATAACTACCTGCCTATTTTGTGGATGGGGGCCCCACACCTGCTGGTGTTCGGGTCTCGCTCAGGGTTCTGTGTTCACGGATCACTCCTGGCAGGGCCGGAGGACGGGATGCTGGGGATCAACCCCAGGTTGGCCGAGTACAAGGCAGCACCCTACCCATTCTACTATCAGCCGATTTGATTTTTGAAATGCCGTCTGAAATGATTCCTGACAGCTCCCCGGAAGGTGTAAGTACAGTTGGATCTTGACATTGGGGCATAAGATTTTTCCCCCCACTTCAATTCTTCTATTATAAAATCCATCACTCTGTCCTAGAAGGGATGCATTCAAAAACTAGTTTTCAATACAATTCAAAGAACTACAAAAAGTATTTTGTTTTGGAACTTTGTGCAGGAGGGGAAGGGAAAAGCAACCACTGCTTGTCAAACGATTTTCACAGGGACAAACAGAGGCAGGAAATGGACTTAGTCCCAAAAGTTATACACTTTATAGAAACTCCAGACGAATCCACCAAGCTTTGGAGACTGAAGCCAACAGTTTTTGCTTGCCAAACACAGTAACAAGTCTCAAAATGGAGACATTAGTGGGCTCGCTCGAGCAAATCGATGAACAATGGGAGGGCAGTTTTTGCAGTCATTTGGGAGGGGCCCAGGGGCTCCAGGAGGACTGGCCGCACACGGGTCAGGGTCTCCCTCACCTGCTCTCCCTGCCCGGCAGCAACGGATTGTGCGTTTTCATTTCTGAGTCTCAATGCACACCACAGTTGATCCGCCATGTACTTTCCAGAACTTTCTGCAGCAAGGGCTATCTTCTCTGTCCAGCTCAGCAGCCATGAGCCGCAGCAGGCTACTGGTGTGTGCTGGGCAGCTGACCGCTGACGGCCATGTTACCGGAATGGGACTGACCTGAGCATGCACACGAGGCTGCTGGCCACAGAACTGGGCCAGCAGGTGGTCCAGAGAGGAGACGTAGCCCTGGCTGCGGTGCGTGGTGGAAAGCGGCCGGGCACCAACACACACACGGGCCATGGCCGCCATCAGCCGCAGCGCTGCCCTGCGCCCACCCACCTTGGCCTTGTCGGCTTGCGTCTTCAGCTCGGCCACCTCCCGCAGCAGGCTCCCGTTCTCCGCCTGCACCGCCTGCAGCTTCTCCTTCGCCTGCAGCAGCAGCTGCTGCAGGGCCTGCGGCGCCTCCTCGTGCTGCCCCTGGATCTCCACGCTGGCCTTGGCGTGCTCGGCCTGTAGAGCCTGGCACTGGCTGCGGCTCACGTCCACCTTCTCCTCCTGCGGGGAGTCGGGGGCCACCGTCAGCCGCCGGCCCCCTGCCCGCTCCCAGCACACACGCACACACACGAACAAACACGAACACACACACACACAACGCAAACACACAAACATACACACACGCACACACACGACCCCTCTGCTCTGCTCACCAGCATGCACACACAAACACACATGCACACACACGCGCGCACACACGGCCCCTCAGCTCGGCCGCTTTCGTTCAAGTTCTCCTGAAGACTACAAAGCGCTAGCCCCTTCCCCTGCAGCTCTTCGGCCAGGCTATCGGCCTACCAGAGTCACAAGGATGGAGTGAATGGACCAAGGAGACAAACAGGAACGGGAAGGGGAAAACAAAACAGAAAACACGTATGAGAAGCCCATGACCCAACACAACCCCGAAGAACAGAGGCGTGAGGTGAGCGTGATTGCCTGAAGCTCACGAAGCCAAGACCTTGGCGCCAGCAGTTCTGGTGATGACTGTCTAGTGGTTATTGAAAACGGCCCAAACAGAGGCGTTTTCTAGACCTAACTTTGGCGTGACCAGAAAATAAGAAAACCTATGAGAAAGACTGACTTTCCAGGGGCGGGGAGACGGCACAAAGTGCTGGAGTACACACCAGGCCCGAGTTGGAACTGCAGCACCACTGGGCGAGACTGAGATCGGTCCACAAGCTGCAAAGCCCCACTACTGCTGGGCGGGAGGACCCCAGAGCCCAGAGCATGGCTTGGCGAGGAAGAAGGAAGTAAGCAAGGGAGGAGGGAAGCTAAGGATAGGAAGGAGGGAGGGAGGAAACAGGGAAGAAAGGGAAAGGGAGGGGAGGGAGGGAATAAAAGGTTATCTTTTTTTTTCCTTTTGGCTTTTTCGGTCACCCTAAATGCTCAGGAATTTCTCCTTGGCAGTAACCCGGCCAGCTCACCGAGAGTATCTCGCCTGCACAGCAAGCCTGCCAAGCTCCCCGTGATGTATTCGATATGACAAACACAGTAACAAGTGTCACAATGGAGACGTTACTGGGTCCGCTCGAGCTAATCGATAAACAACGGGAGGGTAGAGACAATGACAGGGACCCTATGGGATGATGGAGATTGAACCCACGTGGGCCGCGTGCAAGGCAAATGCCCTTCCCACTGTACTATCACTCCGGCCCCCAAGATTTCCTTTCTTGTAGTTTCTTTTCTGTGACTTTAAAAGTTTGAGGGGTTTCAATATGAAATTTAAAATGAGGAACCTCTAATCCCCTAGACAGCAGTCACCCGAACTTGACGTTTGTTACATCTTGATGCAAACAAGTGGGTCAGCTATCGCCTGCTCTGTCCTAGGAATTGATTCCATTTGTTTCAGCTGGTGTTTCTGGAATGCCAGCCAAGGAGTCCTGAGTCCTGAAGGGAACTCCCAGGGATCTCGGGGCCCTTCTGTTATGTCTGTCAGTCCTGTCTACAAAACCCACAGCCCTTCCATCTTGGCCAACAGAGAAGTTTCTCCAACAAAGTGCCCAGCGCGGGGGGAGCGGGGGGCGGGTGAGGGCACGTCCCTGCCACCACAATCCTATAGGAGGAAAAGGGCATTTCTCGACGGTCCTTGGTGAGAACTGCAGCTTCCTCGGCTTGGCCCAGATCTCAGTGTCTCGTCCTTCCCCAGGGTCAGGGCAACCATGAGAGTCCATGCCTGTGGCCAGCAGGGGGCCATGCTGGAAGGCGGACTTGGCCCAAGCACCTGTTAGAGGCTGAAAGGGATGAAATCTCTGCAGGGCTGCGCGGGGGCTTGTGCTGCAGGGACGGAGGGGCTGGCAATGAGAAATACCAAGATGGGCCACGTCACCAGCCTTGAGGGAGCTCAGAGGCTCAGAGGCATCGAGCACCAGCTGGGAACTGAGGCGCCTCGGGGAGAGGAGGGCAAAGCCCGTCACACGAGCAGGTGGTCAGCAAGGTCAGGGAAAGACCCTCGCGGCCTGACTCGAGTCCAAGTGTCTGGGCGAACTCGGCGAGTATGCAGCGGGCCCAAGAGGTGGGGGGCAGAGGTTTGCTCTAGGGGCTCCTATCTTGTTTTCTCACTGGCCTCGTGAAGAATTCTCTGTTTCAGAAAGACCTCAGACGGGCCCGATTAGCCGGGGCCAAGGCTAGCACGGCATCCAGGTGCTGGGAACCAATGACAACCCCCGAATCATGCCGACACCTTCTCAGTCCCCTCAGAGGGAACCGCACGGGACGTGACTGGGAGACCTGTCAGCACCAAGCCGGAACACGGCGGCGAGCAGACTGACACACAGCATGCAGGGAGCGAGCGTGGAAGTGGGCGAGGGCGCCCGAGTACCAACCTGCAGCTCTCGGCCCGCTTTGCATTCTCTAACTCCTGAATCTGCCGCTCAGCCACCTGGAGCTGCTGTCTGAGCTTCTCCATTCCCAATTGACCTTCGGAACTGGCCTTCTAGAGCCCATCGAGCTGCAAGAGCTTCTGCCGGGTGGCCTCCAGCTGTGCCGTGGCATTGGCCAGGGCCTGGGCTTGCTGACTACACACGGCCCGCAACCCGTCCAGGTGCTTTACCTTCGTCTCCGCCTCCTGCAGCTTGTTCAGGGCGTCCTCCATCTCCACCAGGTGCTGGTCCTCGATCTGCTCGAGCTTGGCCCGTGCGGCCTCCAGGCTGTTCTTCTGCTCCTGGGCCGTCCTGAACAGCCGCGACCTGAGCATCTGCAGCTCGGAGGCGTGCGCTGCACGCTCAGCCGCCTGCTGGTCCTTCAGGCTCTCCACCTCCTGCTGGTACTCGAACTGTAGCCTCTCGATCTGCATCTTGAGCTCGGCCAGCTCGGCCGCCTCGGCGCCCACGCCCTGGCTCACGGATGCCTTCGGCTCGCCCATGGCCTGTTGGTGCGGGGAGATGGCCGTCTCCAGCTTGGACTTCCTCAGGGCGATCACGTCCGCGTTCTCCTTGTTGGCATGGTCCAGCTTGGTCCTCAGGCACTCGTTCTCCTTGGCGAGCTTCTCAGAGGCCACCTGCAGGGACTTCACCTCGTTCTGGTGGGAAAACAAAATTTCCATGATCTTAAAACAGGAAGGAAAAGAAGCAGAAATAGAAATTTTTCTTTTCCAAACTGACTCTTTGCTTCTTCTTGTTTTAAGGAAAAGCTTCCAAAAAATGGGGTTCTAATGGATTTGATTTGTGCTGCTCGACTGAAAATCAAAGCTGAGGCAAAGGCATAGACCCGACTGTCAGAATGAGAGAAAAACGCTCATCAAGAGCAGCCTCCAGCCCCAAGGAGCAGAGATGTGTCAGCCGGGCCCTGCCAGGTGCATGACCCCAGGTATCCCTGTCTGATTCGGAGTCTCCAGCAGAAGTGGTCCCGGCGGGGTCGGCCAGGCCGCCCCGCATCCTTGCCTGCACCCTGCAAGCCTCCGGGACCTGCCCGGGCTTTACCTCCAGGTCGCCTTTGGTGATGGATTCCTCCTCGACTCGGAACTGGAGGTCTTCCACTTTCCTGTGGGGGAGAGGGAGACGTTGTGAGGGGCGTCACTGCTGCCCCCCATGAGGGCCACCATCTTCTAGATGCGCCTGACCCAGCCCCCGGCTCCACACACAGGAGGGCTGAGAGAGTCGTATTGGGCCAGAGCAAGAGTAAAGCAGGCAGGGCATTTGTCTTGCACGTGGCCGACACGGGTTCAATTCCCAGCATACCACTATGGACCCCGGAGCAATGCCTGGAGTAATTCCTGAGTGCCCAGGCAGGAGTAACCCCTGAGCATCGCTGGGTTGACCCAAAAAGAAAAAAAAGAAAGTCAGCGAGTCCCCTCACCTTCGAGCACTGGGTGGGACCCGCAGGCTACAGGAGGAAGCTAGGCCGAGCCAACGCCAGGTGCAGTGTCATATCAACCCTTTCTGCCTCGCAGCTAACAGAGGTGGTTAAAAACTGACCCGCAGCGCCTGCCAGTCCCTCCCAGCCAGCGCCTGTCTCCACATTGGGACAACAACTGAGCCCCTGGGGGAGAAGCAGCCAACGACTCGGGGGCGGGGGGCGGGGGGGAGGGGCTCCCAGTGACTGTCCAGTCAGCATGTGGAGCTGAGGGGCTGAGCCAGGCACTGGCAGTGCCCCTGGGCACCACACTGCCGGGAGCCCATCTGAAAAGGCTGTCTCGGCCAGCACCCCGTGTCCATCTGTCTGCAGCCAGGCCTCAGCCCCGCGTCCGTCTGTCTGCAGCCTGGCCTGAGCCCCATGTCTGTCTGTCTGCACCCCGGCCTGAGCACCACGTCCGTCTGTCTGCAGCCTAGCCTGAGCCCTGTCTGTCTGCTGTCGTGCCCCATGAGTACTGTGGGTTTCCTCCCGCCTGGGACTTAACCACAGGGACTCCCACAGGGCCCCACTGGGTTAGGACAGTTCCTTGCCACCCAGCACAGGCCTCCTGAATACCAGGCCAGGTGGACACAGCAGGGAGGGCCGGGGGTGGCTTGGCTCCACTGAGCTCCCCCCCCAGCCCTCCCGCTGAGGCCGCGCTCAGGACTGGGCACCCGTTGGTTTCTGGTTCTCACAGCCCTGGAAGGCCAGGAGTGCCCCAGCCGAGGGAGCCCCCAGCTCCGGGCACGGCCTCACCTCTTCTCCTCCTCCAGCTGGTTCAGCAGCTCCACCTTCTCCCAGTCGGTCGCTTCCAGCATGGCCCGCAGCTCGTCGTTCTTGGCCTCCAGCTCCAGGACGTGCTGTAGAGGCAACGGCGCGTGAGTGGCCTCGCCCGCCCCCAACAGCCCTCTGTGGGCTGACATCGCCACCTGTCACCACAGCAAGCTGAATGCATCTCCCACCTAAGCTACGGCATTTCTGGAAGGCCAGAGGGGAACCACACCACGAAAGCACTGGCGCGGACAACTCGGCACTCCCTAAACCCCCACAGGGCGAGCAGAAGGGGCATGCGATCAAACCACGCGCCGGACGCCACCGCAACGACGGCAGACGGGGACCCACGGCCTCTGCCTCCACCGCCTGCACCAAGCTCGCACCCAGCCTCTACCGCAGGCGTCTCTCGGCCCCGGCACTGCCGTCTGCACAGACGTCACCTGGTCGTGCCCGTTCCGGCCAGGGCCAGCTCCTGCTCTATCTCCCCCATGTGGCTCGTGGCCTTGGCCACCTCCGCCCGCTCTAGGTCCTGCTCGGCCAGCAGCTTCTCAATGTGCTGCTGCTTCTCCTTCAGCGCCTACTGGAGGGCGGTGGTGCCAGAGATCTTGTGGGCGTAGCGGGAGGAGGTTTTCCGGCAACTGCAAAGGAAAAAGAGACGTGAAGGGGATGGGGCCGGCCGACACGGGCATGCTCGCGGTGATCCTCGGCAAAGCACATGGAGCAGTGCTGCATTCTTGCATATGGGCCAGCGACTCTCAGCAGAAACGTCATGAAACCTTCCCGAAGATCCTTGGACGGGACCTGGGCTCCACTGACCTCGGGCCTCGTGGGAATCCAGAGACTCTTCTGCAGAGCCGGAGGCAGCCCCCTCCACAGCCCGCTCTGGCCTGAGCTTCCTTAAGGATGAGCCCTTGGCTTGATCTTGAGGCCAGCTCTAGCATCTTCAGCCTTGCAGGTCCGTCAGGGTCTCCCTGGGCAGCCTGTCCCTTCTCTCTTCCTCTTCCTTCCAGCTCACCTCGCTCTCCCGGGCACCCGCCCCATGCCTGAATAGCAGTAACCAGAGACTCTTGTCTCTGGGAATGGCCCCGTGCCCCTGGGGGTCACTGGGTGTGACCCTATAAAAGACCCCTGTGCCATCTGCCTTCGAAAATGGAAGATGAGAGGCTAGAATGATAAAGTTGCGGGAAAGGCGCTGGCCTTGCACGCCGCTGAACCGAGCTGGATAACAGGTACCCACCCCATAGGGTCCTGAGCCCACCAGGAGTGACTCCTGAGTGCAGAGTCCAGAGTAAGTCCTGAGTATTGCTGGGGCATGGCCAAAGTCCAGGGGAAAAAAAAGGAAAAAGTGGTGGGTGAGAATGTGTGAGGGCTCACGCCCAGCGAGCAGGACAGCAAGGGCAGCTCAGGGAAAGACCAAGCACAAAGGGAAGGAGAGAAGAGGCAAAGACAGTGAGGAGGGGAGGGGAGTGGGCTGAAGGGCTGCGGGGACCGGGGGTCCTGTCCGTTCTATCCTGGGCTCGTGGTTGCTCATGGTCGCTCTGCAGACCCAGATCCCTCTCTGCACAACGGCCCCTGCAGGAGGGGACAAGGCGGGACCTGATCTTCATTCTTCGGGCACATGGTGGCGGGGGCTGCAGCGGCGATGGCCAGGACTTCCGCTCCTTCTGCCCGGCCATCCCTGTTCCATCGCCCTGCTGCGGTCCAGTCGCAGGTTCTCTTGCCGCTTCCCCGCATCATCTGAGCTGCTGCCAAACGCCTCCTGACCGACGGGCCCAGTAGGGCCCAGGCTGTCCACTGCTGCTTTGCCTGCTGGGAGCTCTCGAGCCACCTGGTTCTGTCCGGAGAGCGGGATCATCCTTGCCTGTGCGTAAGGACCTGGCCGTGATTTCCCGATACACTTCAAGTATATCTGGTCCGATTAAATGCCCTCCCCAGGGCCAAAGGGTCTGTTGGGGGGGGTGGGGGAAGGTGCTTGCAGAGGTTCAAGATCCAGCACCATCAGGAGTGACTCTACCCCCCAAGCAGAGAGCCAGGAATAAGCCCTGAGCACCCCTGGGTGTGGCCCCAAAACCAAATAATAACTAAAATTTCTAGGAGCACACGAGCTCTCGGGCCAGCCATGTGCAGTGCTCCCGGGAACTGCAGTCAACTCGGATTTCAAGGGGTGGCTGGGAAGAGCTTGCCAGCCTTGGGGGTCTAACACCAAGACCCGGGCTCAACCCCCCTCCACCGGGAGCAGCCCCCAAGCACCACGCCTGGAGTCCCTGAGCACTGCCAGGTGAACCCCAAAGAGCAAAAATAAAAACTAAGAAAGGCGGGCGGCGGTGTTCCCTGAGCCTCCTGGCCTGAGCGGGTGGGGCAGGCCAGACGCACGCGCTTCCTGGGCCCGAGACAGCTCCCTGAGGAAACCAGCACAGGAGCGATGGGCTTCTTTCAGCCAACTATGGAGACGAGACTGTGAGGTTCAGGCGCCGGAGCAGGGAGAAAGCAGCACCCCTAGCATGGGGGGAGGCGCGTGCTGAGGGGCTGGGCAAGGTCGGGGCCACGAGCTGAACTCAGGATGCTGATGCCAAAGCCTCTGCCCTGCGCGTGGTTTGTGAGGCCCCAGGCTCCATCCCAGCAAGGCCAGGCCTTCTGTGGGAGCCTGGTACCTCAGAAGAGCAACTCAGCCAACAGACGAACAGGGAGGCCTCCACAGGGCACGCACGGACCCGTGTGCATGTATGTATGCGTGCATGTATGTTCCGGTGGGCATATCTACACGCACCTGTGTGCATGCGCGCGTTGCGTTTATGCATGTATGTGCCTGTGTGTGTATACCCATAAGCCTGTGTATATACGGTATGCACTACGTGTACATGTATGAGTGACTGTGTGTATGAACGCTTGTGTGTGCACTTATGGAATTATGTTGTCGAGGTATACTTCCGTGAAGTCACACAGAATCTTTCTATATTCCTGTCATAGACGCTAACGGTGATGTTCAGTTTAGGAGTGAGCTCCACCCTGCATAAAGATATGCAAGGCAGGGGCCAAAGAGCTAGAGAGCGAAGCCCCAGCGCTGCCCAGGCTCAATCCCGGAGGCCCGCCAGGAATAATCCCGAGCACAGAGGTGGGAGAAAGCCCTGAGCTCTGCCAAGTGTCACCCCAAAACAGAACAAAACAAGATAGCGGGGGGAGGCTGGAGATACGGCTCAGGCGTAGGGCTCTTGCTTGGAGGTGGGAGGCACCGGCAAAACCCCAGCACTGCAAACGGCCCCTTGAAGCACTGTAGGGTATGGCCCACAGTCAAGCAGAAAAACAAAACCAAATTCCACAAATGTGCTGGCTCGCGAGGGAAGGAGAGGGGCTTCTGAGTCTGCTCTCCTCCTAAATGGTGAGGCGAAGGAAAGGAGGAGTCGGACGTGAGGATGCACGTGGGGCAGGGAAACCTGGTGGTGGTCGAGCAAGACAGGACTGGCCCCAGGCCTGTGCCCACGGCACGTGGCCTCCTGGCTCCCGTTCCCGTGTCATCTGTTTTGTATCTTCCGTTGCACACACACTCACTCCCTCCTCTTCCGCATCAAGGGTCAATGCACGGAGCAGAGGCGGCGGCAGGAAGCGCAACCCCCAGCAAAGCCAGCCCCCCGGGACAGCCTCTCCATCGTGGGCCCGTTTCCCTGTGGACAATATCTCAGGGCACCCTTGCATATTCAGACACACTTTAGTGTTTATGACTCAGATAGACGTGAGGGGAGAAGCCACGAGGCCCCAGCTTTGAATTGCGGCACCACAATGGACAGAAGTCGAGGCCACTCTGCATGTGGACAGCGGTGCAGAGGGACAGGAGGGAGCAGGGAGAGACGGAGAGAGCAAAGAAGCAAGATGAAGGGCCAAGCGTTCCCCAGAGTCTCTGGGCCCTGCTCTGACCCTCAGGCGCCCCCTTCAGCTACCCCACTTCATCCCTAAGGTGGCCTGAGGCCAGAGAGGAGCCCTGAGCACCCCAGGAAAGGCCCATCCCTGCTCCTGTCACTGGTGGTGGCTGGGAAGCCACTCGCCTGCCACCCGGATCTGCTCAGCCCACGTGCTCCTGCTCCGCCTCTCGCCCCTGGGGCTGTGGGAGTCTGTGGGGGCCCGAGCACCCCGCAGTGGTAGGGGGCTGCTTACTAGTCCCGTGCGGCCGGATCTGCTGCTCTCGAATGAGGCCCCGGAGCTGACGGAGCTGAACGAGGAGGCCGAAGGGCTGCGCTTCAGGCTGGCGGGGGTGGTGGCCATCACACGCCTCACGGCGGCCACCTTGCCCTTGGCCGGCGTTGTGGAAGGGAAGCCGATCTTGGTGACTTTGTGAATGGGAGCAAACAAGCCATACTTGGGCTGACACTGGAAGTACCTGTGGACAACGAGGAGGGGGGGACAAAAACACCTTCGGCAAGAGACACAAGCGCCGACCCAGAAGTCCACTGAGTCCCACAGTCTCACACCCCCACAAACGAACACGCTCCCACAGCCCCACATGCCCACACACTCACACCCCAACAAACAAACTCACACACGCACCCCAAACAACACACCCACACTCTCACACTCCCACCCCAACAAACACACTCACACTCACACCCCAACCAACACTCCCACATTTCCACAGCGCCACACTCACACTCACTCCCCAACAAACATCATACCCTCCACCAGCCCACACTCACACACACTCACAACCTAACAAACACACACACACCCCAACCAACACTCCCACACATAAACACCACAACCAACACACACTTATACTCACACCCCAACCAACACTCCCACACTTCCACACTCTCACAGCCCAACAAACACACTCACACCCCAACCAACACTCCCATACTCTCACACTCCCACCCCATCAAACACACACACTCACACCCCAACAGACACTCCCACATGTCCACAGCCCCACACTCACACACACTCACTCCCCAGAAACACACATACTCACACCCAAACCAACACACACTCACACTCACACCCCACCGACACTCCCACACCCACACACACTCACACCCCAACCAACACTTCCACACACCCACAGCCCCACAGTAACACACACGCACACCCCAACCAACACTTGCATGCTCTCAAACCAACACTGACACGCTCTCATTCCCCCACAAACACGCTCACACCCCCACCAACACTCTCATGCCCATGCCCCCACCAACACTCTCACAGCCCCACACTCACACGCTCACATACACACTCCCTCATACATTCACACCCACACTCGCTCGCATGCCGCCAACCCCAACCGCGCAAACCAAGGGCGATTCCAAGCAGCCTCCCCGGCATCTGAAGGGTGACAGCAGGCCCGGGGGGTTCCTGCGGCCCGAGCACAGCTGCATATGGGGGCCCCAGGCTGTACCCACATCCCTGCAGGGTCCCCGAGTGCCACTGGAAGTGGCCCCGCCTAAGAACCAAGTGAAGTGGCCTGCAGTCCCCTCAGCGCCTCCCGGGCACCGTGCATGGCCCCAGGCTGTCTGGGGGGGCAGGGGGACCCACCTCGTTCCGGCCACGGCACCATCGTTCTTGCCCAGTGGCTTGTCCATCTCTACGCCGCACCAATCCCCCTTGGCGAAGTCCGTCTCCCCGAGGAAGTGCACCACACCGGCCTCCATGTCTCCCACCTGCCAGAGGGATGGAGGGACGTGGGTCAGGCACCCTGAACTGCGCACAGTGCCCCCACCCCCGCAAACGAACATTCTGGCTTCAGAGTCGGGATTTCCTGAAGAAACCCCAAAGGTCAAAGTGCCATTTCCCCCCGCAACCCCTACAGGGTGAGCAGACGCTGCTGCTCAGTGTCCATGCAAGGCAGCGGCATTCACACCCACTCGCTGTCACAGGTGGCCTGGCTGACCACACCCCCGGGAATCTCTGACCCAGGCCAGCCACCTGGTGTGGCGAGGGGGTCGCTGCCCCTTGGGTGTGGGAGCGGAGCACTGGCAACCCCACCGCTGGAGAACAATTAAGCCAGAAACCAGCTAAAGGAAAATGACTGTTCTCGTATCTTAGCAGAGTTCGATCTTCCAGTTCTCCTTCACTATGCCTTGGCTTGACGCTTGGCTCCCGGGACACAGAGCAAAACAGAATCACAGCGCTGGACACTGACAGGAATGCTGACAAACAGGGCTGGAGCACCGGGGGAAGGGCACTGGCTTTGTGTGCGACCACCCTGTGACGCCCCAAGCAAAAACATCGAAAACCAGAGAAATAGAACCGATTTCCAACTTTGTTCATTGGTTTTGTTTTTGAGTCACATTCAGAGTGCTCAGGGCTTACTCTTGGCTTGGTGCTCACGGATCACTCCGGGATGTGCTTGGGGGACTGTACATGGGACCAAGACTTAAACCCCGGGTCAGAGGCGTGCAAAGCATGACCCCTCCCCACGGCATGACCCCTCCACCCTGTTTTGGCTAAACTGGTAAAACTGGCAGCATCCCCGCACGCATCCATAACGCTGGAAACTGCAGGACCAGGCGTCCCGGCTGCTCGTGCTTCCACCCAAACCGCGAGTCTGGAGGAGCTGATGAACCAGACAGGCGAATGGACAGCCACCCGCGACTGCTGCCCTTGGCACTCACCAGCACCTGGTCCCCGAGCTTCAGCTCCCGCTCCCCTTTCTTGAGGGAGCTGGCCTCAGAGATGTTGGAGATGGACTCGCTGGCCGTCCTGGTCAGGCTGCTGATGTGAGGGGTGGCCGGTGACTCCTTCGCGGGGGACTGGGGCACCTTCGCGGTGCCGGCAAGGGCCGGGGAGGCCGACAGGGGTGGTGTGGCCCAGGCGGCAGGCGCTGGCTGCCGGCAGTTGGTCTCATCGTCGGCCTGCAAGCTCCTACTCAGCTTGGACGGCCGGGTGAAGATGCCCTTCAGCGGCTCGCACTGGAAGTAGCGCACACCCGCCACCGAGCCGTCGTTCTTGCCGATGGGCTCGTCCAAGACGATCCCGGCCCACTGACCAGGGGCAAACTGGGTCTCCCCGAGGAACTGGATGAATCCAGGCTTGTTCCCGTTCACCCAGACTCGTTCCCCGACCTGGAAGTCGCCCACAAACTCCTCCTGCATCTCCGAGGAGGGGGCGCTGGGGGTTTTCTCCCCAGGCACGGTCTTCTCAACGGGAGCAGCCGCTGGAAGAGCAGAAAGGGTCAAAAGGGTCAGAAGGGACAGGAAGGGCCTGTGCAGGTCCAGTTAAAGTGTGGTTGGGGGAGAGGGACACCCAGCAGTGCTCGTGGCTACTCCCAGCCAATGACGGGGGCTGCTTGTGGCGAAGCCGTGAAGCGGACGTGCTCACCTACCGCTGCATCCCAGGCCGCAGTCATACTTTGGGCAGCTCAGGGGAAATCTTTGGGTACACCCCGTGATACTACGGACCAAGCCAGGTGAAAGCTCGAACCCAGTGTCTTATTTCTGCTGTGTCCACTGGCCCATCTTCTTTTTCTTTTGGGCGGGGAGCAACCCAGCCAATGCTCAGGGCCTATTTCTGGTTCTCCGTTCAGGGTTACTCATGGTGAGGTTGAGGGTGGAGAGTCACATGGGGTGCCAGTTGCCCTCCCCACTGTACTGTGGCTTTGGCCGGCAATCAGGCCCTCTAGTCCAGGTGAGTCCACCTCCCTAAGCCTGTCCCCAAGTCTGGGCAAGGGAGCTAGCAGTTAGAAGGGAGCGTGTTGGTCGCCTCAGCTGTCATTGGTTGCCGTGACACTAAACTCACAGAACGTGACACTCGTGTGTGAGAGCTGTCCCCAGAGCCACGGACGTGTCTACAGCTCAGGGAGCCCTTCCCGGGCGAGGACTCGGGATGGGGTTCCCGGGTGGGAATGAGTCTCCGTTGGCCTGGGCTGAGCGCACTTACCGGCCGAGGGTGCCTTCAGGGCCCAGCTCCCATGCTTGAGGATCTTGGTGGGGGCCTTCAGCCCGCTGGGCCTCAGCAGACTCATGGTCAGGCGGTCAGACGCTGCCGCGGCCACTACCAGGCCCCGACCATCGAGCCCACTGTGGGGCCTTCTGAGGCACACTCGTTCTCAGGACTAAATCTCTGAAGAGCAGAGGAGAGAGTCTGTCTCAGGGGAGCGACCACAGCAGCTTCCGGAGCCCAGAGAGCTGCCAGTCTGGCACTCGCCACCCCGAGTGCGACCCCCAGTCTCCCGCACAGCCCCCTGAGCCCACCAAGTGTCATTCCTGCGCAAAAACTCAATCCCAAACAGACAAACAAACAACTGCCGATTCGGGGCAAGAGAGCAGAGGGGACAGGTACTAGCCCTGCGGGCAGCTGACCCTCACGCCCTCCCTGCCATCACTCCCACCACCAAACACATTCAGGAGCCAGAAATCATCCCTGAGCACCGCGAGTGTCACTGACCACCTCCCCATCCAGACACTGACGAGCCGGCAGGCGACTCAGCAGTGATGGCTGGTCTTGTGTGTGCGTGTGTGCGTATGTACATGTGTGAGAGGCCCGCGGTTACACGTAGAAGCTAAGGCAAGCAACAGGCACACTTTTTTCTATGGGCTGAGAACTGCAAGGGAAAAGGGCCCAGCAATACTGCGCCAAAGGGGGGCTGGAGAGCGATAGCACAGTGGGAAGGGCATTTGCCGTGCACGAGGCCGACCCAGGTTCGATTCCCAGCATCCCATATGGTCCTCTAAGCACTGCCAGGAGTGATTCCCGAGTGCAGACCCAGGAGTAAACACTGTGCATCACCAGGTGTGACCCAAAAAGAAAAAAAAAATTGTGCCAAAGGGGAGCGAAGGAGTTTTCGGCATTTCCTTCATTCCTTGTGACGCTGCCCAGGTTGGATAACCACAAGCCAGTATTAACTCCATTTCTTAACCCACAGAACTGAGGCAGACAGGTAGATGGGGGAAGCGTCCCCATGGCGATGGAACTCCGAGAAAGTCAACAAAAGCTTCATGGCCACCAAAAGACTACCTGAGTGCACGGGACCCAAGGTCTTGTCAAAATTAACCCACATTATGAGGCCCAGAGCAGGCTGGACCCCCCGAGGGAATAGGAACAAAGGGCAGGAAAGGAATTTCTAAGAGGACCATGGACCACTCAACTCTACCCCCTTGGCAACCACCCTAGCAACGGACTCTAGGTAGCTAGAAACTCCCACCAGGGGCAGCCTGGGGAAATCCCTAGATTAGCCACCTTGAACTAAGGGAGGGCGCTCATGTGTGCCCGAGCCCAGGTACTGCTCTTGCCTATGAGGTCCATCATGTCACAGGCTTCTCCCCTCCAGAGGTGTGGACTTTCAGACCGAATGCAACCTAGCAACATAACATGTTCAGTGGCTTTCTGCACCTCTGGAGAAGCCGCACTCTCTCTCGAGCGTGTTACTCCCTCCCTCCTTCCCCTTCCTAAAGGCCTCCAAATAAAATGTTTCTGCTTCATGCTCATCTCCTGAAATGATTTTCTGCGAGGAGGACAAAGGCCCGGGGGCCTGTGGAGGTCGAGGATCGACTCCCTTTCCCTGAAAAGGGCAACCCCTCACTCCGGCCCAAGACCCCGGGAAGGCCTAGTGGGCGTCGTGGGGCTGCCGGGGCTCATTGCACTCAGCAGTGCCAGCGCTCCAGCCAGTCCCGGGGGAGTGATATCTTCTCCTCTGCTTCTCATCAGCCCCCCATGAGGGCCCACTGACTTCACAGTCATTCCATATTTCAATAGAGAAGTCCGCAAGGGGCAGAGAGGCAGGACAGTGGGGAGGGCACTTGCCTTATATCCAGTTGTCCTGGGCTCAATCTCCGTCAGCACAGGGACGTTAGCCGGCCAGGTCACCCCTGGGCACAGCCAGATATGGCCACCCCACCCCACCCTGCCCCCACCCCACCCAAAAATATATATATAACTAGTAAAAAAACTTAAACTAACTAAAGATTAAAAACTATCATACACTACAGAACTGTTAGAGAAAAAAGCTGCCCGCACGCGGGCAGAAAGCCCAGAAACTCAGATTCACCTGTGCAACACTGCACTCGCAGCTGCAGTACTGAGCTCTGCCAAACAGGCTCGTGCCAGTCTCGTGGAGAGACTGAAAATGGCAGTTGGAGTCTAGAATTTTCTGAGGTAGAACTAGAATTCAGCAAGGAGGAGGGCATCATGGGCCATTCTTAAAGGGGCAGGCGCCACCCTTCGTGATGTCAGTGTCTGGCTGAGGCTCCGGAGGGCTGCCCGGCAGACGTCAGCACTACATGGCCAACGAGCCTCTGGTCCCTGCGAGGCCCAGTTCTGGATCCCCGGGCCCTGTGAAAGTGGTTTCAGAAAACTTTTGACAAATGTTTGTCAGTTACAGATCTCCAACTGAGGTCATTCAGCATCCCCCGAGTGGGACCTGGACCCAGTGACCCTGCCCAGGGCCCTCCTCAGGAGCCGGGCCAGGAAATCTGTGAGCCGGGGTGGGGGGGCGAGTGGGGGGGGCAGAGCGACAGGGCAGAGGCCCTGAGTTCTACCCTGACAGCCCTGCTCTCTGTGACCCCAGTGCTGTGAGCAACACCGGCCGCACCGTGGCCAGGGAGTGGCCCAGCCCACTAAGGCCTGAGAGCTGTACAGAGGAGTATGGCCTGGCCTGCTCCGGATGGGAGCACAAGCTGAATGAGTGCGAGTCCCCTCGAGGATGAGTGAGCGGGAACCGGGGAGTGGGGGGGAGGTGGGGATGGCGGAGTGACCTAACCTGGGGGCTTAGGACGGGACATCTGACGGTGCTCAGGGCTGACTCTGATCCAGTCATGGGAGCTCATCCTGGCAGGACCTGGGTGGGAAGGGACATACAGGGTGGGGTGGGGTCAGCCACAGGCAAGGCAGGCTCCTTGGCCCTGGGCTACCCTTCCAGGCAAGGATACCTATTTTCTTTCTTTCCTTTTGTTTTTTGGGACACTCAGCAGTGCTCAGGGTTACTCCTGGGTCTGCACTCGGGAATCACTCCTGGCGGTGCTCAGGGGAACTATGGGGTCAGCCATGCAGCAGGCAAGCGCCAAGTCTTCATGTCAAGGTGCCCACGAAACACAGTGTGCAACAAGGGACTCTGCAGAGAACGCCAGGGCCAGCAAACGCTACTTGGAAATCAATCAATTCTGAAAAAACACAAAAAGATGCAAAAGGAGGGGCTGGAGTGAGAGCACAGTGGGGAGGGGTTTGCCTTGCTCACGGCTGACCAAGATTCGATCACCAGTCCTGAGCACTGCCAGGAGTAATTCCTGAGTGCCACGTCCAGCGCTGCGGGGCAGAGCCAGGGGAGGGCCGTCAGGGTGAAATCAGCACTCGAGTCACACAGGGTTCGTCATTCAGGAGATGGCATGAATGCGTGCGTTTATTCAGAGCATAAGTACAGACTTAAGTATGTTTCCACAGCCCACCCAAAAGAAGGAAAGGGGATGGGACGTGGGAAAGTGGATGGGACAATGAGCAGAGCCATGCACTGTTGGTCAGCCACCTGTTGACCCTTTCGGCATAATGCTATTGGTCAGAACGACCTGCTTTGAAATAGCTTTGACATAACTGCAAAGATTGTGCTGTTCCTCATACACCATTTACAAATCATTTACGAGGGTGCATTTTCCCCAAACTGAAACCTCCTGTACTGGGAAGTTGCCCAGCTTTGAGCAGGACAAAGGGGGAATGAAAAATCAAGCATTCTTTTACTTGGTCAGTAGGCAACACTGAGCATCACTGAGTGTGACCCAAAAAGCCAAAAAAAAAAAAAAGAGAAAAAAACAGCGCAAAAGAAAATGTGTTTGAGCCTCACTGTCTCCCTGAGACTTGAGCACTCAATGCTGTGTGTGAGCCTAGTAGAGTCTCCGGCCTGAACAAGCCCCCACCCCCCCACCCCCATGCTCCTGTGTTTGGACCCTGACCCTAAATCCTGTGATGGGACCACGTGTGTCCATGACAAAGACGCTAGCAGGCTCACGCCCTGGAACGTCCCTGCTTCACACAGGTGTGGCACACGGGTCCTGGCCTGCTAGCGGCCGGCAGTGATTCGGCAGGAAGCAGAAGTGTGAGCCTGAACGTGGGTCAAGTCCGTTCCTTCAGCTTGGAGGGGAGGAATGTACGAGAGGGGGTTTTGAGCACTGCC